TTGTTTGCTTGGGGTTTTTGTTGTTGTTGTTTGTTTGTTTTCTTGCTGTTTTTTTGAGACGGGTGACAGGTTTTCTGTGTAACAGCGCTGGCTGTCCTGGAACTCACTCTGTAGACCAGGCTGGCTTCAAACTCACAGAGATCTGCCTGTCTCTGCCTCCCAAGGACTGGGATTAAAGGCACTACCACTGCCTGGCTTTTATTTAGTTTTAATGTTTATTATGTTACCATCTTAAAAGTTTGGGGACTGGAGAGATGGCTCAGTGGTTAAGACCATTGGCTGCTCTTCCAGAGGTCCTGAGTTCAATTTCCAGCACCCACATGGTGACTCACAACCATCTATAGTAGGTTTTGATGCTCTCTTCTGGCATAGAGGTGTACATGCAGGTAGAACACTCACATACATAAATAAATCTTTAAAAAAAAAAGTTTGTTTATGGTATAAGACATAAACTTTTCACCAGTCAGCAGTGGTGCACACCTTTAATCTCAGCACTCAGGAGGCAGAGGTCTACATAGTAAGACTCAGGACAGCCAGTAAAACCCTACACAAGAACCAACCAAACAAAAAAATATAAAAACATAAAATTTTCAGCATGAGCTTAATTCATATTTTTCAAAAAAATTAGTGTTGACTCTGACATAGTATGTCTATTGTGTATCTCTATAACTGATCTGAACAAGTATATTGTTACTCTTACTATATTAATATTCTAATGAATGACTTGTAGGTTGATGTCATTTTTGATGAAGATGTTGGGTTTTTGAATGCAATCAAAACATTCATGGCAACAACTAAACGGCCAGTAGTTCTTACTACAAGTGGTATGTAACAATAATTTTAGTACAGCTTATTTTTTGTTGAAGTAAAGTATGTGTGGGCTAAGGCGATGGCTCAGCAGGTGCAGGCCCTTTCCAAATAAGTCTATTGATCTGATTTTGATGCCTGGAACCCACATAAAGGTAGAAGTAGAGAACCAGTTCCACAGGGTTGACCTGATGTTTCTAAATGCTTATGTATGCACCCACACACAAAACATACACATACAATAATAGTAAATGATATTTTAAAACAAATTGGGATTACTGGTGATGTGGGAAGGTCATCTGTCTATCTGTTGCTTTCATTGGTAAATTAATAAAGAAACTGTTTGGCCTGATAGGTCAGAACATAGGTGGGTGAAGTAGACAGAACAGAAGGCTGGGAAGAAGGGAAGTGAGGGCACATGCAATGGAGCCAGCTGCCAGGTCAGACATGCTGAATCTTTCCTGGTAAGCCACCACCTCGTGGTGCTACACAGATTATTAGAAATGAGTTAATCAAAATGTGAGAATTAGCTGATAAGAGGCTAGAACTAACCGGCCAGGCAGTGTTTAAAAGAATACAATTTGTGTGTTGTTATTTTGGGTGTAAAGCTAACCATGCGGGAGCCGGGCGGGACGAAAAGCAGGCCTGCCCACAGCTCATCACTACATACTGGAAAGATAGCTCACTGGTTAAGAGTACTTATTATTCTTGCAGAGAACCTGGGTTTATTCCCAGCACCCACATGGCAGCTTCTACTGTCTGTAAGTCAAGTTCCAGGAAATTTAATGTCCTCTTCGGGCCTCTTCAGGCACCAGATACTCACTTGGGACACTGACATGCATGCAGGCAAAACACTCAAACACATAAACAAACCAAAAAGATTTTTTTTCCTCTTCAAAACAAAGCATAATGTGGTCTGTAATCCTAGTACTCAGGAGGCAGAGACAGGAGAATCCCCACAAATTTGAGGCTGACGATGTCTACAATGAATTACAGGTCAGTTAGTGCTACATAGCCAAATCCTGTGTAAAAACAAGCAAAAACAATCAGACACTAAGGCTATACTAAGAAACCCTTTCTCGAAAAACAAAGCAAAACAATTTAATAATCATAGGTTAGGTGATATTTTAATTAAAGGTCATAATTATGTTACATCAAAATAGAAAGTTTCTTCAGGAGTTGTCATTTGCATGATACTGTAGTCTCCCTTCATCTAAGGGATACTTTGAACACCACCCCCATGGATGCTTGACATCTCAAATAGCACAAACTGTATATATACCTTTGCCCTATACATACATACTTAGAACACTTGTAACCTAGTCATAGTAAGAAATTAACAATTACCGAGAGAACAATTAAAACACTTATTAACAATTGTAAATGTTAGGACCTGAGGAGTTGGCTCATAGTTAAGAGCACTTGTAGCTCTTGCAGAGGAGCCATGTGCAGCCCCTAGCCCCTGAAGACCCGAAGTATCAGATCTCCTGGAGCTGGAGTTACAGGCAGTTGTGAGCTGTCTGATATGGGTGCTGAGAACTAAACTCCAGCCTGCTGCAAGAGCAGAATGCACTATAGCCACTGAGTCAACTCCTGTCCTTTAATTACCAATGAAATGCTAGATATTGTGATAAAAAAGTATAACTGGGAAAAGTTATGTAGTGATCTCGTTTATTTTTAATAACATTATGTCATTTTTCTATAGATCCCACATTTAGTTTAGTGTTTGATGGCTGCTTTGAAGAAATCAATTTCAATATTCCTTCCCTGGTAAGTTTTGAATTTTCATGATCACAAATTATATGTACCGCAATTATGTAAAAAATTTATATTTTTAAAATGTGCTTTTTAAAGGGAAATGTTAAAGTGTTAAGTTTGAGGAAAGAAAGAGAGAGAGAGAGAGAGAGAGAGAGAGAGAGAGAGAGAGAGAGAGAGAGAGAAATGCATGATTTAAGTTGTGTTTTTCTGTTACTCCTGAATATTGCACTGGTTGCATGTGGCACAGGTTTCACACACACACACACACACACACACACACACAGACACACACACACACACACACACATGGGAGGAAATGCTTTATGATCTCAGCACTTGGGAGACTGACATTGAAGGACTGCCAGCATAAGACTAAATAAGGTTGCATAGTCAGCCTGGCTATATAGCAAGACTCTGTCTCAAGAAAGAAAAGCGCCATACTGGAATTCTGATAAAATGAAAGAAAGTTGGGGCTGGAGAGATGGCTCAGCGGTTAAGAGCATTGCCTGCTCTTCCAAAGGTCCTGAGTTCAATTCCCAGCAACCACATGGTGGCTCACAACCATCTATAATGAGGTCTGGTTCCCTCTTCTGGCCTGCAGTAATACATGTAGACAAAATATTGTATACATAGTAAATAAATAAATAAATAATAATGAAAGTTGCTATCCATTAAGTTCTAATACATTAGATATTTAACATTGCCCCCTCTGTTTTATATTTGCAAACACATGCGTCTGTGAACTTGATAGTTACTGATTTTTATTTTAAATTTAGAAATGTATATTTTAGTATGGTTATAATATTTATAATTTCTCTATTTTGGGGGTTTTTTGATTTGTTTTTTGAGGCAGGGTTTCTATGTGTAGCCCTGACTGTCCTGGAACACTCTTTGTAGACCAGGCTGGCCTGGAACACACAGAGATCTACCTGCCTCCGCCTCCTGCTTGGTTCTCTTTTTTTATTTTTGTTTGTTTGTTTGTTTGTTTGTTTGAGACAGGATTTCTCTATAGCTTTGGAGCCTGTCCTGGAACTAGCTCTTGTAAACCAGGCTGGCCTTCAACTCAAAAGATCCACCTGCCTCTGCCCGCCTCTGTCTCCCAAGTGCTTGGATTAAAGGCATGTGCCACCACCGCCCAACTTATTTTTATTTTTTAGATTTATTTATTTATTATATATACAGTGTTCTGCCTGCATGTATGCCTACAGGCCAGAAAGGGCACCAGATCTCATTACACATGGTTGTAAGCCACCATGTGGTTGCTGGGAATTGAACTCAGGGCCTCTGGAAGACCATCCTGTTCTCTTAACCACTGAGTTATCTCTCCATCCCAATATTTATAATTCTAATGGCTATAAAATATCATGTTAAGCAGCTAGGTTTGTCTTGTTCCCAGAACTTGGGAGACAAAAGCAGGTGGATCTTTGTGAGTTGGAGGCTAATCTTGGTTTACAGAGGCAGTACCAGGACATCTAGGGCTATGTAGAGAGGCTCTGGCTCAAAATTTAAGAAAGGTTGGGGAGAATAAATTTTTTAAAAATCCTATCAAGTGTATCATTACTTAATCTAGCTCTATAAAACTGTCTGTTGTGTTCAGGTTAGATAATTTTGAAGTTTCCTTGCCAGGCTGAATGTGGTGATTACATACCTGTAATCCCAGCATCCAACAGGCAGACTCAGGAGGATCCTAAGTTTGAGGTCAGCCTGGGCTATGTAGGAAGGTCCTGCTTAAAACAACAACAATGCAGGTAATCTTTACATTTGGGAAGTGGAGCCAGGAGAATCAGAGGTTCAAGACCAGCCTGGTTTGTATAAGAGTCTGTCTTAAACACACAAACACAGTTTTTGTTGTTGCTGTCCTGAACTATATACAGTGAACACAAGAATATATATGTCTTTAATTTTATGGTATATTCTCCTGTATTTTCTAGAGAAATTTTATTCTCAAAAAGTTTTAAGATATTTTGGCTTTTAACTATTCTTCATCAATATTCATTATTACTCCATTTCTGCCAGTTATGTAACTATGTCTTTATATCTCCCACATCTTGTTTTCTGATTTTTAGCTTAACGTTGCCAGCTATCTACAAGTGATCTGTTTAGTTGAGAATTTCAGAACCGACTTAAAAGACTTTGTAACCTTGTTGACTGCAAATGACTGTGACATCAGAAAAAGTATCCTTTACTTACAGTTTTGGATTAGAAGTGGAGGTGGAATTTTAGAAGAAAGACCATTATCATATTGTCGTAAGTAGTCTGTCACGAAAAAATGTTCTACTACAGGACCACTTTTTTTTTTTTTTTTGGCTTTTTTTTTGTTTTTTTTTTTCAAGGCAGGGTTTCTCTGTAGCTT